CTTTCCAGGACTTTCCATTAGCCCTTGCTGTATTTCAAGGTAAACATGACAGAAAGATACTGCTTCTCAGTCTGAAGAAAGGTCTGCCCAACACAAGCGTGATAAAGTAGGATTTATACCAACGCCTGCAAGAGCAGAAGCTAATGCCAAGATTCCAGTCATCTCTCATTTAAAAATATTTCCCAGATGAACAATTCATCCACTACAAAATACCAGACTAGAGTTATATTCCAACACCAGGCAAGTCCAATGACATAACATCAAAGGTTTTTAATGATCATTTGTAACATGATTCTTGGAGGAGTTTTTGGATTAACGTGACTAAGCTGACAATGCAATATCTCTTATTTTACAGGATTTCTTGCGGTGTGTCACTGCTGCTATTATTTACTTTGCCATCTCAATTGCTGCCGTCTCAAAATACACTGACAGAGCATCCAAAGCAGCCGGAGTAAGTAGACACAAGCTTTCCGCTTTGGTATTTTGGTGAACTGCATATAGACATACTTCAGAAACAATTTTGACTCCATTACAAGTAATAATTTTTTCAATTTGCTAACTGGAAATTAGACTGACATTTGCCTAAAGCAAGGAAAAGATGGTCTGCTTAGATCTGTTTTAGAAAATGGGATTTTATATCAATGATCATCTCTCTTCATCCTAACAATGCTGTTCAATATTGGTTGCACTACTTTGGGGGAAGGCACCTATTCTGCAATTTCTCCAACTGTACAGTGCAGGTGAAGCTTATCCATTCCTGCAAAGAATGTCAAGATTCTTTAATGGAGAGGAAAAACAAAAAACACTCAACAAACAAAACAAAACAAAAATTAAACCTGTAACTACCAAGGCCAGGGCAAATTTTAAGTAATTTTAGCCTTGTGCCTCTCCTGCTTATTTTTACCTTGATGAGTTGAAACAAAACTGTCATTTTACTCTTAAAATAGAACATCTCTAGTACATTGACTGTGCAGGAGAGAGCCTTCGTCATCAGCGTTTTGTTTTCAGAAACAAGATACTACTGCCTTGCCATCTGCAACTTGACTCTAAGTATGAATAATATATACAATATAAATAACATTTCCATAATACTTTAAAAAGATGAGAAAAATACCCAGTACTATTAGCCAGCAATCTTTACCAAACAATTCCAAGTCATACATGATTTCAAAACAAAGATCTTGTCTTAATTTTTGTTGCTACCCTATTTATTCTAGTTTATTAGACTGAAAAAACAGCCTATTTTTGCCAGACTGCGCATTCTTTGACACCAAATAGGTAACTCCAGAATCACGGTATCTCAATCCAGTTCATTCCGCAACAGGCAGGTACCCTTGCAAACCAGTGGAAAAAAAAAAAAAAAAAAGAGAACTAAAAGGATGAGAAGAGATTTCTAGAGAAACCTAGGTGATTCCTCTGTGCAAAGCAGCGCCCCAGGAACACGCAGGTGCGTGCTCCAGCAGCTGCACGCAAGAGCAGCGACTACAGTCGGAACGCGCACAGCGCTAGACAGCTATTAGCCCAAGCAAGGGCTACGGAAACGTCTGTTAGAGCAACTGCAGGGGTCAACAGTTAGGCTCCCAAACTGTCTATACTTCAGTTGATGCCAAGGTCATGGGGCTTGGCCCTTCTCCTCTCTTTCAGTTACCGTTCTACAATAGCACAGTCCAAAATCAGGCCCAAGTTCTCCCTAACAATTTTTCTTGTGTCAGTTAAGCTCATCCTGGTTTTTCACTGACGGTTGACATGAACTGTTGCTGAAGATAGTATTATTTTGCCATTTTAGGTGTTTGGATTTATAGCCACGATAGTGTTTGCCATTGATTTCTACATAACCTTCAATGACCTGGTTACATTTCTCAAACAAGACACTTCTAGTCCCCCTGAAGGGCACAAGTCAGACGGTAGGTAAAATGCCCCATTTTGGTTATACAAGCATGTAACACGAGACTTTCCTGTACTTCACACTTCATGGGGGTGCAAGGGCTCTCAAACTTAGTAAGAACAATTTGTGCTCTTGGTTACCTAAACCTTATATGCCTCAACTATGCCGTATTATGAAGCTGTTCAGTCTAAAACATAACAACTGGAATTTTACTGATTTAACAAGATACTAGCAAGCTGAGAATTTGAAGTATAGTTTCTCATGGAGTTTTGTTGCATCTGATTTTGAAAGCCCCTAAATCCAATTACATAAATTATTCTGCAACACAGACTTTTTTCCTCGCATCAAAATGTCTTAGTCTAGAAATAAACAAAAATCTACCTTTTTCTTTTTAAGAAACATTTCATTGAGTAACTTAATAATTAGCATCCACTAGTCCAGGTCTTTAATATCCAATAGCTGTTTTCTCTTTATTGTATTATTACAATTAATTCAATGTCACGTTTTACCCATCTGTGGACAAATAGCCTTGAAATCTAAAGGCCACACTTAGAAATTTGGCAACAGTTCCTTTTATACTTTCTCACACAGGAGGTACAGACTACCTCAAATCAGACAGATCCACTCAGACAAAGCTGAAAAGAAGATCAGCCGTTATGTAGAAATTTACACTTGAATTCTAACCCATTTCAAGTGAAGTCAGAACAGAGCAGTACCTATGAGTCAAAATCATACATCATGTCCCTGTAATACTACAGGCTGCATAAAGGCAGATCTAAAAGATTGCTCTTAACTTAAAAAAACAAACAAGAAATGTACACAGAATCCTAGAGGGTATACAGTAATGTTAACAGTCTTTTCTAGATATTTTAGTAGTCAGTTAAATGCTTTGTAAGCTTTAGGCCAAAAAAAGAGATTAAGGGAAGAATTACAGGAACAGACCATAGGAACAGGCTGTTAGGAAGACTAAAAACTTATCTCTACAAATTGCACTCACTACAGAGCAGGATCAGGCTCACTAGGGAATAAAATTAGGTTGAAGATTAGGTCTTATGTGCCTGAACATGGAGAGAGAAATATATCAACTCACAAATAGGTAGTCATGAGCTTTATGTCAGTGATTTGACAATGAAAGGAGGACTCTGCCCTGCAGCGCTGTTCCTCTGGCACAAAACTCACGTTCCTGCTGCGGTTCCCAACTGCAGAGGCAAGAAAACTCTAACTTCCTTGGCAACTCAGTCTCAAGCTCAGGCAGGATGTACCTCTATAGGCCCATCAGGATTTCTTAACATCTTAAAACTTCTGGCTTTCAGATACGTTTAACTGGCAGCGTGCAGCTGTGCCCAACAGCAAGCAGCAGAATTCTGGTACAGGAAGCATGTCTTAAGCAGACTTCCTTGTGGTGGCTGTGCTAACAATATCTTTGCAACTCCTTTCATTTGAACAGTTATCCTCCATGTTGTAGCAGTCTGAGATTAAGCGCTTCTCAGCATCGTTTCCCGAGTCCTTTGAAATAACATTTAAAGCCACATCATGTTAGAATGGTCATTTTATAAGCCTTTTCCTAAATATGCAATGTCCTTTGAAACAGACACCCAAGAAAGAGCAGCAGATCTCTGAGCAAGAGCTAAAGCTGATGCGGAAACTTCCAGTTTCCATTTTCCGAAGATTCCGATTCCGACTCCGACTGAAGAACAGGACAGCAATGAGTTGTGAAGGGAAGATGATCAAGCGCTCTCCTCTTTGCTGAACGCACTGCCAGTTGAAATATTTCCCTCATTTCACTTTTGGTATCCTCTTTCCACCTCACTGCTTATGGAATCACCACAGCATAGGACAGTGGGGTGGACGAGGAGACTATTCCAATGCCACCAAACACTCCTTCAGAACTAATGATTTTACAGTAGTTCAACCTACAACATAAGTCTGCATCCAAACAAACATCCCAGTTCTCCCTTTCTCTTCTTTATTCAGCTCTACAATGTACTGAGTGAACAGGAACATAGTATTTTAAACTTTTAGCAGAGCTTTTAACGTGCTTTCTTAATTCCAAATCTTTAACACTTGTAAGCTTTTATACTTCTTGCTGTGCCAAAGTTGAGAGGCACAGAATGCCTCCCCTTGATTTGTATTTCTCTAGATTAACTAACAATCAGTATTTCTTTAAAGTCTGAATATTCCATTATCTCAAGCATTGATGGCACAGATAACAGTTAATGTGTTGGTTTCAATGCACGTATATCCACTGCCTATCTGTGACAAGAAGAAGTGACAACTGGAAATCTGCACCAAGATCAAATCTCAAAGTATAATTGTGCCTCAGGTTAGCTGGTTTATCAGACGTTTAATTCCACTTTCTTAAGCTGCTTGGATGGGATCACATCCCAGCTTTTGCAATTTCACCACAGATACCAGGTAGAACAGAAGAGGCATTTACTTACCGGTCCCTTGCTACCATTTGTGTGGAGGCCCTTGTACATACTGTGCAAGGTAAGGTAGCCGTAGGCTTGCCAAGTACCACCCAATGACACTACCTGCCAGTCAAAGCCTGCAAATTATTTGTGTGCGAGATATCGCTGTCTGACCTCATGCTGTGTGTTCTTCACCCTGGTTCTCCAATGAGAAGTAGTGCTGGACTTGGTCCACTCGACGCAGAGTTGAAAGCCACGCTGCGCAAGCATACCAGGGGGTTCGCAAAAGAGATGACTGTTTCCGTACAAACTCAGGATGCCTGGGCCCTAGGAGGGCACTACTCCCTTCCCCCCTGTGATGATGCAAATCAACCTCCAGACTAAAGAAAGTCTTTCTCTGAAAGGACATAATTCATCTCTTTGGTCTAATATTTTTGGGGAAAAAGCTTGTGAATTTACAAGGTTTTTTCATGGGTAGTGCAACCTACCTTGGAATATTTGTGCCCACATATAAAAACACACACTGCTCATGTAAAAAGCATGGCAGGTCCCTCATATATGGCATCTGAGAGGTCTACTTCGGAGAAACCCTTATACATTAAAAAACATTTAATGCATACTCAGGACAGGTAGCTTGAACAAAAAATAATTAAAATGAGAGCAGATGGTACTAATGGAGTAAATGAAAAACAGAGCTAAAACAATAAAGGCAGATTTCATTTGGAACAAAATTACTGCCTGCCTTCCAATACCCTGCTAGCAGCTGGCTGCTAACTGGCGAAAACATGGTACCTAACAGCAGACAGGTATTTGGGAAACTGATCTGGCTAGATAAGGAGACATCTAACAGGCAGTTTCTACAGCTTGTGTTTCCAGACCACGGAGGGAATAAGAGCAAAACAAATGTTTGCTTCCAAATGTGATAAATATTCCTTGCTTTTGTGAAAGAGCTCTATGGACCTTTTCCTGTATGAAATTCCACATTTCTTTTCTCTCTACTGTCATGTTTTACTGACACTTACTGTGACGTCAGGGGATCTTGGCTCATTTTTATATTCAATTTTTTGTATTATTTTTTTTTTTTTTAAAGTGTACTGCATGTCACAGCTGGAAACTAGTACATGGTTAACATATAGAAACTATGCTGGATTAAACCTCTTTTAATAGGAATCTTGGGTGTCTCTACCTTATTTTAAGATCCCATTTTACTGCCTTCCCTCTAACCAGTCAAAATAAAAGCGTTTCAAGGAATTCTGTCATGAAGGGTACCCTGTGCTCGGAAAGCACACAGCAGGATAGAACCAGCACTTGTGGTTACATGTCTTGCAAGGTGAAACTTCATTCTTAGTACAAGCATAAACATTTAAACAAAGATTAATTTTAGCCTATTTAGTAGGCACTGGAGTTGCAGTGCTGTTAACTGGCAACTAATAACATTCCCCTTTAGGCTTACCCTTTGCAGACATGCTAGCACTCGGAAAACTTAGCAAAATGAAAATTATAAATTAAGCTTTAATGTTGGAATCCTCCTAAAAATCAACAGAAGAGGCAAACAGAATTGCTAGTTAGTTGCTTCAGGACTACCTTAGCTGGCATGGAACGAGTTGCCGGTTCAGATAGACAATTTCATTGTCAACACTGAAGAATCTGGTGGTGTAATTTATTCTCAGACTGTTGGCTCCCAGGGTCAAGCACTTGTGTGAGATTCTAGTTTTTTATTTTAAAAGATCTGTTCCCATGATTGGGATAAAATACACTTCTGTATTTTATGTTTTATATTTTCTGTATTTTATTTCATTTCATTTCAAAAAGGGAATCAAATTAAAAATATTTATGTTAAAGCCAATTCTGATTTTGGCGGGCCCTGATGTGCTTTTTGTTTCCTGCCGGCAATACTGCACTAAGCTCTTGAAGTCTGGCCTATGCTGGAGGATGGGTCTGCTAATTTGTTGGGGTTTTTTATTTATTTTTAACTGGTAAGATTACAATAGTGGGAGCACTGGTTTTGCTACAGTTCATAATTTGGTGACACACAAGCATAACACTCTACTTGCAGCGTGAAGGCCTTATCTGAAAACTTACTTGTAGTGTACCAGCAGTGTCATAACCCAAGATCTCTCTTCAACCACAATATAGTCTAGTTCCAAGCAGGAACCAAGCAGGCTGTTTACAAAGCCTTTACTGGCGAATATAGGCCTTTGTTATAACCAGAATGCAACTATTTCCATGTTTTGTTTAACAGCACCCAGCAACAGACAAAACTAGAAAGTGATGAACAGGTTTCCAGTAGCAAGCATGGAGCAAATTTACATAGAAACAACACAAGAGCTTAATGATTTAAACACTACCAAAGCCACTGATGGTAAGGAAAAAACCGTCAGCTGGCACCACAGATGAATGACTCTATACAGCTCTCGCAACTGCTCCAAGTTCTCCCTCCCTTTCTCTCTCACCTTTTCATACCACAAACCTTTTTACGCTTCTTCTGTGGAAAATTTGTTCAGTCTTCTGTAATGACTTTGGACAAGTGGTGTCAGGAAACGTAACCTGTTAAGGAATTCAAAAGACTTTTTGAAACTGCCCTTTTAGATCCTCCCTTAACTAAGAAGCTTAACTATCCTATCAAAACACGTTGTCCATTACCCCACTTAATGTTGCCTTTCACTTGATATCATTCCAAATTCTAGAAGTCTTAAATCTCCAACCACCAGAAAGATATATCCAACACACTAAGTGAAAAGTGGTATTTTTCAGCCTGCATGCCATTTGAGAAGCATGTTTCCACCAGTCTGGTACATTAGAAAACAGCAGACAATTTAGTGTTCTACATAGCAAGCAGAAGAGCTTAATTCATTGTGCTTTCAAGAAGTGTTCATTGTGCAAATTTCTGCACCTGTATTTAACAGCTGCACCTTCCCCTGCTATGAGACCAGCAGCCCGTATCATTAAGTGAGCATGCACTTGCAACCCAATACTAACTGACTGTGCATGTTCTGATGCCTGCACATCTAAAATTCATAAATAAATGAGAAACGAGCTACATATTGTTAGTAGGCTGAGCTAAACCTCATAGCAAGGCAGCTTTTAACCTTGTATTTAAGAGCGAAACATTTCGGAGTGGCTTCATTCCAAAGACCAGCACACAAACTGCCCCCAGAAAGAGAAAATGCAAAATGTGTATCATCTTGCATTTTTACAAATGCATGAAAAAGCTTCTGCTAGCAATCTGTTAATTATTTTGGGAGCATGCAGAGAGAGGCAGACAGAGAAAATAAAAATACACCAAGGGAGAATAAGAAATTTATATAAGCACTGAGAACGTCAATCTAGTTACAAGACACTGAGACACCTTTCTGTGTAGAGTATTGGTTTAAAAGTCAGGGTGCAGACATTCAAGAAAACTTGAATGTATTCAATAAATTTTTCATTTTTCAAGCTATTTCTTTGAAAAAGTTCATTAAACCTGTTTAACAACAAAAACACAGAAAATGGTGCTTCCAAAGTTCATTTTGGCCAGGTAATGCTTGTGCTTTTATTTTTATGTATTTTGGATGCCATCTATCACATATTCTGCTAGTCTGGTCCATTAAATAAAAATCAATTAGAGAGTCTTCCCAGGAGAAGGAAGGAAGATTCAGTATTTAGAAGCTGGGCAGAATAAACATTATTATTCTCTATTCAACTGCTGACAAAGTTTCTTTTGACCAAGAAACATCAGGGATTACAACGCCAGCAGCGATTTGCCATTACGTCTAGTGCTCTAACTCTCTGTTTTCTTAAATAGCATCAATTACATTGAGGCCTGGTCTTCAAGCGGGTCCAACAGATGCAACATCAGAACAAATTAAAAATTAAAATCTACTGCTGACAACATTGTTGCCTAGATTGTTGCCTATAGCAGATGCCTACAAGCAAACAAGCAGAAGCCCTACAAGCACATCACTCCTTAGTGAATCCTTCTGTAGAAATTCATCCCTCCTACCACCATTGTCCACCTCCACCTCCCCACGTGGACATTACTCCCTATACAGTATTCTAAAAGTTTCACCCAGATTCTTTTCACAGCACTCATTCAACCACCTGCGCACGTCCGCCGTTTTTACCCTCATTAACTGTGCTTTCATTCACCTCACTTTGAAAGCTTGTGGGTACCAAAAATCCAGATCACGTCAAGGTCAGAGTCGCAACCTACAGCCCGTGAGGTGGCCGAGTACTACCCACTCACTCTAACGTTTTAGCTCCCAAATTCCTTTGGGGTTCAGAACGTGACGCTGCAAACCACAGGATATAGCATTTCATTCCATTGCAGTGTACCAGACAGAAACCTCCGCAAGAGCAATCCTGCCACAACCACTTTGGCAATAAAGCGGTTCCATGTACTTTCTGCTACATACAACCTCTCATCAAGGACTGCTTATACAGGCTTTTTTATTAACTCCTCCACCTATGGTATTTGTCTTGTCAATGACATATAATCACTAAAAACTCGCAGAGGTTTTTGGGGGCCGTTTGTTTTTAAAACGCATGGCATTGTCTTGCATAGAAAATTCATTTAGTAATTGCACTTACCTGATAAACTAATCAATCATGAAACTTTGCACTGTGTTTAAGTTACCTTCATAGATGAGGACAATGTTATAGTACTTTAATATATCCATTTATTAAACAGTAAGTCCTTCACAAATGATTCCATACCATATTCATAATTAGAAGAGTACCATGAAAATCCATAGAGCTCAAATCTTCAAATATCAGAAAGACAAAAAGACAGGAAAAGACAACTAAATAAAAAAAATTTACAAATAGCGATTGTGCCCATATACAAAAGACTGGACAAGCAAAATGACATTTAAAACTGATAAATACACCATTTAAATTATGCTATAATGGTATGAATTTTTAAAACATGGACTGCTTTCTGTATTGCAAGACATTAGAATCAACTTGTGTTTTTTTTTTGTTTAGCATCAAACCAACAAAACCAACAGAAAAGAAGTGAACAACATACTGAAAAAATTATTATTGGTATAAAACACGTTAAGAGTTGTGTTTTCTTGTTAAGAGACCTTGCCTCTGAAACTGTTCAAAGCATCAACAGCATGACTTTCAGATAAAGGGCTGGAAGATGCTACACTTCACTTTTAAGTTCCAGCTGTTGCTACTGAGGAGACAGTGAACACAGCTGGCAGGCATCCATGCTACTGCAAGCATCATTTTTATCAGCTGACCTTGTGTGCAGTTTTATTGAGATAGCTTCAAAAATACTTACCAAAAATAAAATGAAATTGCTTCAGGCTGTAATCTGTTGCTATCCTAATGTCTGCTAGTATATGATATTCTTCAAATCCATTGATCAAAACATGCTTATGATGATAAATGGGCACCTGATCCTGCAGTCCCCAAAGTCAATTTTGCCTGAGTAAGGACAACAGAGTCAGGTTCTGCATTTGCAGCGGCACATACAGTACACTTAAAAGATTTTCCTTGGCAAAATATTACACTTTCTCTTACTTTAAAAGCAAAATACTAAGGTTATTTCATAGCAGAATTGTGCTCATTCAGTAAAAGGTAAGTTGCATCCCCTTTGCTCAGCCCGAGACAGAAATCTAACCAACAGTTTTGGCCAACATTTCTGAGCTGTTCACAACTACAAGTTTGTCAGTATAGCAGTTACATAAGTTAAGTCAAGCCTAGAGGTCTCTTCCCAGGAACGGTTAGGTGATGTCTACTGTGTTTTTCTAGAGGACCACGGATTGGCACTGAGGATACAGATGTATCCCACAGTGACTGTCTCTTTACGCAAGTGTCAAGGAAAAAAGTTGTAGCATGTTTTAGTTCACTTCATCATCCATGTGCTTTAATCACCAATGTGCTTTATCTCCATCTTTCAGGTAGCAGTGGAAGGCAGAGCAGAGCAAAAGTGATACAGTCTTTTCACCATGAGATCAAAATTTACTGTTTAGTGCACAAAGGGAAAAAATGACTACAGTAGCCATAAGGCTGGTATCAGTGAATCAAAGCACAAAGCCAGAAATGCTTTAGTGAAACACAATACAAAAATAGTGTTCACTGGTTTAATAAGTTTACATCTCTATTTTTATGACCAACAAGTGTTTATACCACACATGGAAGGCACCCTAGGTGAAGCAGTTTTTCAGTACTTGTTTACAATTATATGGAAAGACATAAGAAGTGTCAACTTTTAAATCAAAATTGAGCAATATAATGAGAAATAAATACGTACTTTACTATTTTTATTGTGGGTTCCTGAACCCTTACAAACTTCAACATATACAAATAGTTTCAAAATGACACTAACACAGAGGAGAGTAAGACTAGACAGATAAAACGATTAGCTAAGTCATTTGTTATATTGCGTCCTAAATGTTGAATCTTAAGTGTAGAAATCATTTTAAAATGCAATAAATTGGTCACAATATAAATCAAAGCAACTTCCTATGAACTGTGTCCTATGAGTTAAAGCTGGACGAACTGCAGTGCTAAGATATACTCCCCCTCCACTATATCCAACAAGTAGAAACCAGTAAACATTCAAGATTAAAGTATAAACAGTATAAAAATGAAGGTAGCAATTGTTGTAATATAAGGGTGCTAGCCAAAACCACTTTAACCTGCAGACATCAAGATAAACGTAACATTACTGAAAATATTTAAACTATAATACTTCCGGAATTAAAAGGTTACCAAAAGTAATAAATCAGCCAAGTTAGCAGAGGGTATTTTCTTTCAAATACATGAAGGTTTTAACTAGATATGTCTATCGAGACATTTGTCCAAAGCAAAACAAATACAATACTCTGAAATTTACCATATTGTGGACAACAGTCCTTGACAGTCAGAAGAGGCAGAGATGGTCATAATTCACTGTTATGCACATCCAGGTGTTATTAAAATAGCTGTAGGGACCAGCCCTGATCAAAGACAAAACAACCCAGATACTCTGTCAATAAGATCTGGCTACTGCTTTTTGAAATGCTCATATGTCCTTATTATGAATTTATGAAGATAGTTTCCATATCCTTCCATATATGCCAACTGGCTTTTTAAAATTTTACCCATGAAGTCCATAGTATACAGATAAAACCTTCATAGTAAACTCAAAGCTCTATGTTATAAATATGTCAATCAAGGTAACTACGTATATTGCATATAAAATTAAATATCTTCTGTTTGCCAAGTATAATTTAAAAAGGAATATCTGTGGCTAGTTATAAAAAAATATTTATTAACCCATAGAGATTAGAAGGCAATTTCACTAACTCATCCATCCAGCACATTTGAAAGAATTGCACTGGGATTCTGGATAGGTGACTTTATCTAATCATATTTTTATGATAAATAGATAATTTTCATTTCTGGGCATATATAAGAACACTTTTGAAAGCTGCATATCGTGAAAGAAAATTACGTTGTGTTGTATACTCTAAAGGCTCTTATAAATCACAGTGTAAGTAGTTTTTTTTTTTTTTTAAAGATTATTTCTAGAATACAAATGGTTAAATTATAGACAGATTTTAAAAAGATAACGCAAAAAATAAGACCGAAACAACAAAAACTCTGGTTGGACAGCACCCCACTTGGTCAAACAGATCTGACCAAGTGACCAAGTGGCTAACGGAGATAACAGTTTACTAGGAAAAACTGTGAAGCGGCATCCAGAGATTTCCTGATTATTTGTGTAAATCCATTTTTAAATTAATTTCATCTGTTAAAATAAAGAGAGGAATATGGCAAAATTTCTACAAACTATTTTCAAACATTATTTCTGGGCAAATAATAGAGCATTCTGCTGTTTTTTGTACCTATTTCAGTTTCATTTTTAAAAGATTACTTCTGTTGCCACTCAATCTAAAACAGGTTCAAACACAACATTTGTATCTGCACGGTCTGTTTGATCCTAACTGACTAAAGGCCCTCCTCCAAACAATCCACTATGTCATGCTACTGCAGAACAAGAACTAAGTACTCGAGTTTCCAAAATGCTACGTGATGACCTTACTCATTTCAGTGGGACTGCACAGCGTGCAGAGCTGGGCAGAAATCAGAGGCCCTTCCTGTAGCGCTCTGTCCTCTCTCGTCTCGCTATCCTTGCTGCAGATACAGGCGGCCCTTTGGATGCAAGCATCCAAGTCCTGCAGCTCTCTGTGAGCCAAAGACTACGCTTCAACTGAGTAAGAGTCATCTGATAATCACGTTCACTTAACAACATCTCTCAGATATATCTTCAAATCTATCATCACTATTAGTGCAGAATCTCTTCACCTCAGGGTGTTTTAAGGTTATCGGGACCCCAGAGACATTTCTAGGCTTAGTTCTGATTAAAGGTGTCTCGTCTCCTTCTCTGTTAAATAATAATCCTCAAATGAGGGATTATGCCTTTAATGTTCACATATCATTTTGAAAACACAGGATTATTAAGTGTCAAGTCTGGTTTTCTCACTCCTTCCCACCCTTTTTCAGATCTCAAACTCATGACTGGATTCTGCCTGCCTATTTATTTTTCCTAAATATCTGCTGAAGATTTTTGGCCTGAGAGCTTTCAGTGCAAGGCCTGCTCTTTATGCTCCAATTTTCACATACAAAGCTGTTTAGTATCTCATCTGAAGTAGGAGAGAAGGTATTGTTTTTAATAGTATTTGAATTGCTACTTGGCTGTTTGTGAAACGATGCCCTGAAACAGTATTTATTATTATTATTTTATTTTTTTTTTTTACAAAAAAGAACAGGTAGGAATGTTTATAAAGGTGCCATGTGAAAAAAAATATATAGAGCAAAGACTAAAGAGAAGGAGAAAAAGGGATGCATTAATAAAAGCGTGCATTAGATAAGCATTGGCTCTGCCTGCACATCTCCAAAATAGCACAGAGGTGGCAAATACAGAATTTGTTTAGGGATCTTACACATCAAAGCTCATGAAAAACTAGTGGTTAATTCACTGATAACAGTCCACACCCAGCTTGTAGCAGATCATTTTCCTGCTATGGTCCACAGCATTCTTCCTAATAGTGTTAAGAATAATATTACTTTAAGACCAGTAAACCTGTAGTATTAGGAAGGGGCAATTGTCATATAGTACAAAGTAATTCACAAAAAGAAGAAAAAAAAGTAACTATTAACTTAAGGAAGACTGGATATCTTCCCAGTTTCCCTCTCTTCTTACTAGAGCTAATAATGAAACACAGAGAAAATAAAACAATTCTAAACCATACGATCAGATGCACTGTGAAACACAGATGTGACAAAGCCTACGAAGAAGCACTCTCCATTAGTGATTTTATTTAAATTCACACCCTAAGGGACATCTTATGAGCAAAAGAAGGCAATGTGCTTCTACGGCATAGCTTGTTGCTGATGCCAGACACCTGAACACAAGGACAACGATGACACAAGTCTGAAGTACAGACACGAGCTCTCAAGAGTCAGTACCTTGTCTCTCTAAGAAGGCAGAGGTAGAAGAATTTCTAATTCGTTCAGTCTCCGAGGTCGCAGCTCCTAACAGAAAACGTACGAAGAAACACAAGTAGCACACCAACTAGCTTCCAGAGTTCTAGGGAAAGAACAAAAACGTCCCCAGCACATCCAGCCCAAACGTCATGAACTACTATAAAAGGGGAGAATACTATACTTAATGATAGCATGTCCAACGTCCTTTTAATTATCTTCCATATAGTGAAGCAGACACTATACAGATCAATGACAAAGAATTAACAAAAATAAAATATCAAAACATAAGGCAGATGAGGAATGAATACATGGAATGAAAGGAACAAGTAGAGAGTAAGGAGGAATCACCTTTACTACAGAGCAGTTAAACTGTTAACTTAGTTATTAGCTACGGTTTTAGAAACTCACTTCTATTTTAGGCAATTTGCTTATCATTACAGGAAGGCATGATAAACTTCAACTAAGGCTGACAAAACTGAACTTAGCATTAAAAGAAAATACATACTCTTACAATACTACACAGTAATTCTTTTGCTATTGCTCCAATTATTTTCTATCGTTTAATTCATTTTTTAATATCTGTACATTGGTTACAAATTTTGCCCTCATTTCTACACACAGAAATATATTAAGATTGCATATCTGAGGGCACAGGCTGACTTTAGAGGAATAATCAGAACTCCAGCGCGGTTTCAAGCACCTCATTCCTACATGGTTCAACTGTTTAGCTTTAATTTATTTTTATTCATACCACTTTTTGGGTCCCTCTGTGGAGCCAAGCAGCATCTTAAAGAATAAATTAAGTTATCCTTCTATGTTCAGCAATTTCAAGCAAGACTAGCTGGCTGGGAGAAGCAATTTAATGTGACTTTTCTCAACAAGTTTCAAAAAATTAAACTTTCTGTCCTATTTTCTTCCATAAGTGATTTTTTTAATCATATTTGCAGTTTGGGTAACAGTCTTTATTAAAATATTTACCATCTTTCCAAAAGACTACAGTGTAAAATTAAGTCTGGACAAAGAACTCAACTATCTATATATCATATGATCTGAATACTTCAAATTTATCTCTCACATCTACGGTATTTACCTTCTCTATAATCCAAAGAGTAAATAATGTCTCCATAGACCAATAAATCCTTAACTTAGATTTTTAGAAAGGATATAGTGTACAATACTAAAATCATCTTTGGTCCCCAAAATAAGAAAATTACAAATTTACACTTCTTTTCTTGCTTACAAAGGGTATCAGAAAGTATTTTAAGTTCATATTCTTTTTGAATTCTACCCTGAAAGCTGCGCTGAGCTCAAGTCTTGATGTAAGTAATAAATAACAGCATAGTGTTCTCAGCTGAAGACAACTATATTTAATATGTAAAAGCACTTGAGGTCATACAGGTATACTACCCAAGAGGGTGAAGTAAATTATACCATATTAGAAGTGTAACTGTGTATCATTCATACCAATTAAGAAGCATTTGTCATTCAAGCAAAAAGTCAAAGGCTTTTCATGATCTTACTTCAGAAAAAGCTCTGCAAAATTCTCCTTTTTCTAGGTACGGAAAGGTGTAAGTCATTGAAAGATACCAAGTCCATGAACTTATAGACACAAGAGACTATCCCAAACCTCTGAGAAACTCAAAGCGAACTCTGAAGTGAACGCAGCGGCTGCAGAGAAGCAAAGGGGCATTCTGCTGCACGCCACTTTGGTCCCTCCGCTAATCAGCGAACAGGATACACGCGCAAGGAAAAGCCTTTGCTGTGTATCACATCACGTCTGTTTCTTGGCTTCAGATGAGGATTTCACTCTAAAAGCATCGATCTTCTGCAGGACAATATTTTGCATTTGAAGAGGGTTTTTTGTTTTTGTTTTTTTTAATGTTTGTGCCATTTGCTTTAATACCAATTTAGAATTCCAGTTTGGATCTGATGGTGTTTCTTTTGAAAGGGTTATGGTGTATGTTTTTAAAATAATGGGCAGTGTCTAAAAACTCTCCTTGTAAGCTTCGTCCTTGTACTAGGTACAGAGTGCTGAAAAGCAGCAGGATATTGGCTACAATAAACTTCATTATTTAATGCCACACTGAACATTGAACTATTTACCTCATGGAAAGTACACCCAGTAGTCCTGATGAAACACCACCTTAACAAAAATGGCTGTTTTAAATCCAACAACAGAGGTGAGCTTGAATGGCTTGATATTTTAAAATCACCATTCCCTTTGGCATCAGCTTTCAATGAAACACAATTAAAATGTCAAATATAGTAACTGGAAAACCACCGCTAGGTTAAAAAGGGAAAGTTTTCTTTAAACTCTTTACTAAGTCCTCCGTAATTTTGATTTCAGTCTTAGTCATTGAGGTGAAATGCGTACAACAAACTGAATAATGAAAATACCCCACCTTTTGTAATCTGGTTTTCACACATCAAAATAGTTCTCTGTTGTTTGATTCAAACATTGCAGCATAAAGTTCAAATCTAGTCCTCTCCCAGTGTCTTCCAATATTAAAACAAACCCACGCATTTGCACTGATCTTCTGTTTTCTATAACTGCTTTTCAAAGTATTTCGTATTTAAAAGTGACCTATCTGAAATGTATTGCCTTTTGCTCCTAAGATTCCACTTAACCGCATTCATCCACTCAGGATACAGTTACACAAGAACACAATACCAAAAGCATACAAGTCAGATGTAGGATAAATTCAGGCCCATGTGGGATACAACTCCACTAATTTCAAATAATTCATCAGCTCAAACCAGGTAGGAATTAAGCTCTAAAGATCATCCCACAGATTTTCTTTATGTAGGCACACATATGCCAAATGATGGATTACATGCATAAAAATACCAATCATGAAACTAGAAATTATCTTCCTCCAATTATCTAAACTCATTTTCCAAAGGGAAAAATCCAAATCAAAAATCATTGTTTTTACCTACTACCAACAGTTTTAATTTTAGAAGAAACAAATAACCCCCAAAAGTACTTTCCTACATGAATCGCAACATTGCGATCTTCAAAATATTTTATAAGACACCATAAATTTTTGCTAGTTCCTGCCTACCCTAGAGTTCTCAGAAAGGGTGAATCTTAAAAAAAAAAAAAAAAAAAAAAAACCACACACCTAAAAATGCAAGTCCATCAGAAACCCCTTCTTTCTCTCCATTCTCCATCACTGTGTCCTTCTAACCCCTTTCTCCTCCTCTCCCTCCCCAAACATTTTTTTCCATTTTGAAACAAAAAATAGCATGTATCCCAACATTAGCAGAAAACAACATACTTGTACTGGATGCATTATGGTGACCATTCAGCAAACATGCTAATCTTGCACAAGTTCAGATCTGACTGAGATCACACACAAACTGAGTATGATGATTTCAGAGTAATTCACAGGATAACTACCTTATCATTATATCCATCAACCCAAAAACGTGAAATGGTGTCTATTTCAGCTATGTAAGTAAACAAACAATGAAACTGCACAAGGTCTTGCAGATGAGAACTGAACTGCACTGCCAAGGCTACATGAGGAAGGCTACAGAGAGCTGTTGGACACAATACATTGCTAAAGTTATTGCTATTTGCCCCAATCTACTTTTGGTGAACTTTTTTCTTATAGTAATCAAAAATATAGTGTTGGTCTTCATGTTTATGGTAGATGAAGAAATAGTGGCAGAACACGTATATTCAGAGCTTGTACTTGGGAGAGGGAAGAAAAGTACTGTGCAGTTAATCCAAAATATTAACATACTTCAGATACCTATCTATGTGGATGTCTTAAACTGATCTTGCTTTTGAGTGATCAACATTTATTCTCTTCATGACAACAGCTTCTGACTCAATGCACCTCTGTACATACACAGGGGCTGGGCATTCTTTGCCACAGTCTGATCCTCCTTTTCTTCCTTAAATAAAGGAAAAAAAAAAACCCTTTATTCCATGAGGGAAAATTAAGAACGCCTTTCTCCCTTTGCAGTCCCGTTCAGATGTCTCTTTCATGCATCCAGACGTTGAATCTCAGGGCGATGATCTACTTCTCTGGATTCTGTCCGAGCGCGCATGTAATCACTGGTTTGCCGACTGTTTTGTTGTCTGCTGTTCATTCGCCACTTTTTAATAGCTAAGTATGTGTTCACAGCATACACTGCCATTGCCAAGAAACCAAATATCTACAAGAAGTAGAAAAAACTGTCAAAGAATTTTTGAAAACAAGAACAGTAGTTTCATAACAAATCCCTCAGCAGCTTAGTTTTCTACTTTATTTGCACTGACAAATTGTTATGGCCCGCAAAATTGATGTTTTTCTTCTTAAATGAATTAGAGAATCTGTGAAAGCTACTAAGATCAATGATCTCAAAAAACAAAGTTCTCTGTCTACAAACACACTGTCAACTAAATCCCGCAGTGCCAACTTCGCAGCAAGACCCTCTTGTAATTGAGAATACAGCTCTTCATCCGGCAAATAGCTCATTCCTCGGGATGCATGTAATAATGAATGGCCAAGAAAAAAGTTCCTTCAATACGTTTCCACAGAATTATTGTGTCATTTTCAATACTCAGGTTTGCAAAACAGAAGTTTATCAACTTGAGCACAAAATTAATTTGCTTGACCTTACTGTTCCAGATTTGAAGTCTTAAAATAAAATACTACTATTCTCTTCCATAGAACAAAAGCAAGCTGTAGTGAACAAGAAGAATTCAGCAAGATTATGTGTAAGAGGCTCCAGCTTCATCTGAATTTTTGGTTCTCTCTCTCGTGCAGGCTTGCCACATAGGGCAGTACTATCTAGGCTAGTTGTAGAGAAACAGGCAAATTAAACTGTTAAGAGTTCTCTGCACCTTTTTTCCTGTTTGGTCTTGCCTCAAAAGCCTTAAGACAAACAACTCCAAGGGCATCAATACTTTCAAAAATCAAAACTAGTAGAGCCAACTGTACAATTTTAAGTATACTGGGATGGCGAAGCAAACAGAAGTTTTCAATGAACATGATGGAAAAGTTATCCTTAGTTTTAACATAAAATATGAGTCCCGTTTAAAGAAGTTCAAATTCTCTTACCACAGCAGCAATTTCTGCTCCAGTTTTATGGTTTAAAGCAGCGAGTACTACAGAGGCAATGAAAAAGAAGAAAGTGCTGAGTCCAGTGTTGACCAGATCCTATAAAAATAAATTCATTAGTATTACTAAACAATGATTCTTCGCTTGCTTTTAAACAGAAACTGGTGAAAATGAAGATTAGAACAAAAACTGTGACAATGTTTTCCCACTTTCTAAGCAGTTTATCACTTTTACAGAAGAAGGCAATGATTTTCATATAGGCAACATGTATGCACACACTAGTATGCGAATTGAAGTCAAACAGCATCTATACATAAGGCACAAGGGCAAACTGTAAATGTGTTACTCCAACTTCTACTGGGATTATTTAAAAAGCACTGTTAGCATAAGCAATGAATGTTCTCAGCTGACATTAAAGTAATCTGAATCTCAAACTTTAATGCTCATCTGACACTCCGAGAATCCCTTGTTCTCTTTCACGTCACAACAACTCTTCTAGCATTGCCTGGATAACACTCAGGGATTTCTCTACAAGTTCTTTGAAGCCTTACTTGTAAACAAATGCATGCCCTATGGTATTCCTGCGAATAACAGCTACCTGTACTGTAAAAAATACACAGGTATATACATATCCACTGCAGAGATTGTTGCATGTTTCAAGTAGACTTTTTAAAACATACATATACACACAGTGACACCCCAAGGGCTTCTAGGATCAGGGAACATTCTCTTGCTTTGTTTCAAGCGTGGGGGGGGGAGGGGGATAAGCAACATGCAATTCAGTTAAACCAAGTGACACATGCTGCAAACGTTTTCAGATAACTATGACTGCCATGCCTTACAAAAAATAGGGTCGTAACATGTTGCTGGGTCATAACTAAGAATTCTGAATGGCAGCTATTGGAAAAAGAATAATTAATTCAACACTTGATTTTTAAGTGTGATTAAATAACGTAAAGGCCTAGAGACTTTAAAACAAAAGCAGAGCAAAGTGCTAGATTCACTAGGCACTAGCTGTTTTAATGTGTTGTTCTCAGCCTCTTTCACCTTTTTTATTTTATTTTATTTTTTTTAAAGTTTGATAAATGCTGTTCTGGAGCCTATGCTCAGAGATAAGGAACACTAAATAGCCTCCAAGACAAACACTACACAGATGTAGGAAATAACATATTCTAACGATAACTGAATTAATGGATGAAGTCAAAGAGGAAGTAGAGGCGTGAAGGAGGCAGGCAATGACAGTTCAGTACAGATAACCTGAAGGAACACGAAAGCAGTAAAATGTGAATACTATCATAGCCAAAAGGGAGGGAAAGAAAACCTGTATACAAGTTTGCTGTGCAACTTACAGCTTTGAGTTTAAAAAAAATGAAACACTGAGCATGCTAACTGATATTTCCCACCATTTAAAAAAAAAAAAAAACACACGTTTAATTAGAATTCGAAGAAAAGTGTTCATACTAGACTGTTTTCTTTCATATGCAAGACAAACTTACTTCCACTTCCTGTTCCATTTACTACAGCAAAATTTTTTGCAAAGGGCATCTAGTAAAGTGCTGTTAAGAAGTTAGGCTTAGAATACTCGACTTAAAAAAATCTAAACTCATTCCCTAGCCACAAATCTGTTGACTAAGTTTCCGTTACACAGCACAGAGTCTTCACACTGACCATCGTCACCTAACAGTCCTACAAAACCTTCCGTCTGGTGAAGAAAGAAGTGATTAAATCCAAAAACATTTTTATTTTTCTAATCATGATTTGAGAATGCTTTAGGAAAAGTAATTGTAAACACTAGACGTTTCTAATGCTGTTTTGTTCACAGGGAAAAAACTACGCCTTCGAGGACAATGACTCACCTACAGCTGGCCTGATCCTCATCTAAAAGGGGGAGTTTCCCGAGAAATTTGAGAAATGTCCATCCACTGCTCATTGCTATTGTTACTCAGATTTAACGAATGCAGTAAGACCCAAACTATCTTCGCAAACAGTAAAGAAACAGAAGCAAGTTGCAAGTATCTTAGAAACTTCATATGAACCATCACCATTTTTTCACACCTGCCAGCGTATAATTGAAGACAGATACTTTACATCTCTGTTCAAGCTTGCTGGGACAGATGTTATCTGGTACTTGTGACATGCAGAGGCATTAAACAAAATTAGAATGTTGTGCAGTAACTATTGCATTTTTACGAAACAGAGGTATCAGAAAATAAGTGGCATTTCACAACTTCTCCAAGTAACCTCCTCTTCCAACTTTGAAGTAACAGCGTTGCTCATGCCTATGGGGTCTCCAGCAAGAGCTCTGGATCTCATCTGCACAAATCTGAATTCTCACCATTCCTATTATCCAGTACGTTAACGTCTCGCTATACATGTCAATACATAGCGCACCCAAGAGCGTTTAACACTTTCATGAAGTCTATAGAGTAAACATATGTCACCAGGAATGCTGAAACTGTACATACTGGGGAGAGGGCAGCCATACTGGCTATGCCCTTCAATTAAATGAAGGGATTATAGTTCAACCAAAGGCCAGGCTACCGATTTTACTACCATCTGAATTCATTTGCCACCTACAGAATGGAGACAAAATCTTGAAAGAAACAGCTCTGAGAAGAGCTTAAGAATTGCAATAGGTAAGCACCTCACATGTGAAGCTGTAGAGGAAAAAAAAGGGAGGGGGGTAAGAGAAAGAGCACTTAGGCATTCCTTTGGACATATGGACACAATAGGTGTAGGGAGGTAATCTTACCTTTGTAAGGGACACTGGAATGCTGCATCCTGTTCCGGTATCCACATTTTTTAAAGTATGTTGAAAAATTGGACAGGGTACAGAAAAGAGCCACAAAAGTTATTTGAAAGAAGGAGAAAATTTCTCACAGTATGAATCAAAGAACCTAAACTGCTTTGAATATTAAAAAGATTCAGCTGTGTACATGAGGACCTCAGTGTTCAAATAATCAAGAAATATTAGCTGATTAAAAAGTTAAATTTAGCATAGAAAAGCACACCAAAAGCAACAGCGTAACAAAATCAACAGCTGAAAGGTTAAGCCAGAAGTCATATTCAAAATGAAATAAGGCTTATCTTTTGGTCTTCTCTTTTTTTTTTTTTTTTTTGTTTTACTGTAAGGGAGCCGACCATCAGAACAAATAACCAAAGACGTGCTGAGTATTCCACCTTTTCATTTCTTATTGGCTAGATGATTTTATTCCAGACACATATTTTGTACTTGCTTAATACTATATTCAAAAAAGGGTAACTGGATGAAACGTAAGAGTATGATTTAGATGGTGAGACATACTTATTAGTTTATTCTGCTGACCTCTGACTTTTTGAATGTATCAGCTTGATCAGCTTGTCAAAAGAGAATACCATCAGCAAGATAGTCGGGCCCATCCACAACACAACAAGCATCATAATCTATCTACATGCCAAAAGTTGACTTGAAGGCTTCTTATAAGAAGTCTGAGACACTGCGGATTATGATACACTGCCAAAATCGGACTGCCAGTGCCTGTCATGAATCTACCCAGGAAACTGAAGATATAATGACAACAACCTTTTTAGGGCAATTATTGACATTTTATTTTATTGCAATCTTTATAAAGAACATCAAATTTCTCCTGGCAAAGAATCCAACAGTTCAAATGTAAAGACTAATTTATTCCATCTAGAGTTTCCAATTTATCAACTTCTGCTGTTTTATTTTCCACGTTTATGTTAAAAATCTTTTAATGTAACTAATTATTGTTTCATATCCACACAATAAAGTTGATTTCTTAAAAACTAAAACTAGCGCACTCTGTCATACGCACATAGGAGACTGTTTGGAGTATAAGGAGCAAAAATAATAGTAATGTTGGCATACAGGTACATAATGGCAACATCACAAATTTATATATTGATGGAGGTTTTTAGTCCAAAATTTGGTACTTACTAATTAAGTAGAAAGATTGGGAAGGGAAGAAATACTGTGATGGTTTTGCAAGAAGTCAGAGCAGAAACAAAAGAGAATGAACCACAGCAAGATTTCAAGAGGCAAAGGACACTCCCTAAAATAATGTAGCCTTTTTTCCACGTTAGAGAAAATGAATAATCATGACAATAAAAAGAATAAACTAATTGAAAGAAGATGAGCTGTTTCAAATCTGGCCATGCTGTAGCTGAAGTTCTTACTATTACAGACAAAGTAAAAACCACATCACACAGATAAAAGAATTTCTGCTGAAATTACAGCAACCTCATGAGACAGTATGGTGTGCCATAAAACACTGCACAAAGCTGCCATCCATAACAGAGAATAAAATCTATGAGCTGAATCAAATCCACTCTAGACTGCTGCCGCTCCCTTTACCCTTTCCAAAAGGGTTTAATGGAAGATTGATTTGTTGTCCCTTGCTGGTTATTCACAAGTCATTTTCTTCAGCCATCAACTGTCCTATTAGTGGTATTAATCAAAAGGAGAGTATCCAAGGACGTCTACTTGCTACTGCCATGTACGATACTACCATCAGCAGCTATCTGTCCTACTCAGACAGAGCAGACGAGGCACCTTATCTCAAACTCTGGATGAAGATGGGTTTATGCCAAGACAGCGTTTTATACTAAAGTTGGCTGCTGTTTCATTTTGCTGAACCTGCTGTAAAAATGGGAATCCCTAGAGAGGAGAAGCAGACAGCTGGCAATGCTTATTTCTGAAAGCACTGCACCACCACAAGCTCAACTAAAATGCAGGGGCCCCGAAATATCTGAGGGGGCCAACCCACAGTCTCTCATTTTTAAAGGTCAAGTCGGGACAGGCATGGTTCCTGGACTAAGAAGGCCGGAAAGGCTGAATTGGTGCTGGGAATATGAGAAGTCTGTTAACAGGTAGAAAAAAGCCTCCTGAAAGCTGCAGAGGACATCAGCTACTGAAAGCTGCAAAGGCCATCAGCTACAAAAACGTTTGTTTAGTCCTGTTGATCAGAGGCTCCAGTAATATACGCATGCTTTTTAGCCACTCCTCTCCATGACTTCACACGTACAAACTTTAAGAGACAATCAAACAAGACACCTGCATTGCTTTTTCTCCTGTATTTTGTGAAGTAAGAGACTGCACGAGTGCCCAGGTACTATTCAAAAGGCAGTCGGTGCCATTTCACAATTAGTTAACAAAAACTGGATTGTTTTTTTGTCAGTTGCTTTTCGAAATCCAAGAGTTTACATATAGATGGAGTTTAAAATAGCTAAAGGAATGTGAACTGGAAAAGAGCCTGCACGTTTGAGCAGCTTGAGTCTGTCACAGAAGGTCACCGAAGTCAGTGGTCTGCTGCTGCCCACGTCAGTTTCCACAGAAGAGAGAGCTCAAAGTAACATTTCCTTTTAGTTCTGTTTTTTTGTACAATGCCTCTAATTTTTCTCCAACCAGCACTTTGTTTGCAAGGTTTGGGAAGTTTTTCCCTTGTTTCTATGTGAACCTACCAATTTGAAGTTTACAAACATACCAGTCAATCCTCTATACCAAACATCCCTGGTCAAACTCCTGTAATCTGACTCCGTAATCATGTTATTAAACAGTGTATGAGCATTTGCACTGGAATTACTAATGGAAATATGGTTTCTGAGGCAAAAATAGGTTGTAGGTAGAAGGAACCAAACTAACTTTATGAACGTCAATGCTCAGGGCACCACTGCAGCCACCAGCCGCCCTCCAAAGGGCCCAAGGCAGCCTGGGGCACCTGGGCTCCTGCGCCGTCCTCATGCACAACCAGCAGCGTCTGTGCTGGAACCAAGCCCCAGGGGTCTGGCACTCGCTAGAAACTGGTTCTTGTTACAGTATCTCAAATATAGTCTACAGAAAACTGAAACACTGAAAGTAACTTGCAAAAACCTCAATCAACTCTCTGGAAGATCAGGGATAAGCCATTATTTTGAAGAAATGGAAGGCTCATATGGTTTCATTCCTTTTTCCGCTTATTTTTGAGTTGGAACACAGGCCCTGTTAGAAGTAGCATTTCTGCAGTAAACGACACAACATTTTGTTTCTGAATGAACACTTATATTCTCGGTTTCATTTTGGTTTTCTGAAGTTCTCCTGTCCATTTTCCTCTCACTTCTACTTAACCGCTTTCTATACTCATTTTTCTCATAAGCAATCAAGCATACAGACAAGAGCAGTAGTCATCTTCACAACACAACAGATCTTACTAGCAATAATTACCAAACCTTGCAGTTCTTCTGGCAGTTTAAGCTTCTTTGTATTTATTACAGAATAATGCATAACTGTTTACATTGTGCAGCATCAGTAAGAATTGTCCACCTACAGCATGCACCTGAAGCAAATGAATTCTGACAAAATTTTTAAATTTATAAAAGATTCTTTTTATCCTTAACAGGCATCGCTCTTCTGGCAACAGTAAAATTTCAATTTCTTAGTCAATAGCTAAGCAAGCCAAAGAAAATCAGGATGGTTTTTCAAAAAAGGAAAGATCAAGATCACCCTGTGAAGGCCTTAGAATTACAACTATGTAATTAGACTATTCAGAACTAAGGCTGGCATGATAAGATACTTTTGTCTTTTTGGTACCACAAACCGTTTGACCTGTACTTCAGTGTCAGCTGCCTGCACACAAGGTGCTCTCTCTGCAACATCTTACATCTTAGTTTTTAGTGTGTTCAGTCCTGTGCCCCGCTTTTGAGGCTGCTCATGAATAACTGCGTGTTCAGAACTGCACACAGAAGATATACTTCCAATGGATGTTTAAAAATCAAAACGATCAAAATCTATTGGAAGACTTCTTTTCCTGTACATGGACATAATCAGCCAATAGAATGGACTATTTATGCAGTGACTAGACTCCGCTTTACCTCATCATACCAGCTCTCATCTAAGAGGCTGTCCAATTCCAATATTCTGAGCTGTTTGCCATCACTTTTTTTTCCCCCCCAAGTCATCTCAGTTCTCAGCACTGAAAGAGTACTGCAAAATTACTGTGGATTCACTCTGCAGTGACAATAATCCTCAGAAAGGCTGGCAAGTCGCATGCGAATGTATGAGAGCAAGTAGGTTACTACAAACAATTCTGTTGAGCTTACTACTCCAGCTCTACTTTTCATTCATACTGTTTAGTTGCAAAACCTCAAACTTTCATTGTAAATCACTTGTGATTCAAATAATGAATTAAAAAAAAAAAAGAATAATTTAGCCAAACAAATAAACATTATTAGTTAACTCAGAATAGAAACATTCGAAAGCAGCAGCTGAATTACTTCAGCAAGTAACGCTATGCTGTAGCATGCCCTACATCCCCCGAAGCCACTTGCAAGTATCCTAGCAGAGCAAGTTTTCTTTCAGCCATGAAACGTGAAGGAAACGGAAATTTCCGCTGACAGCTTCCCCAGTTTTGCATTCCTTCATAATATTGATAGTGCTACACAACACAGACAAGTGACTATTCTTTTATCTTACTGTTGCAAATTTGCCTCTTTCCAAAGCACCATTTTCTTTCGTGGAATGTTTATCTCAAGAAACTTTGGCTGGCAAGTCTCTAGGATCAAAGCAAGGCTCTTTTCCCCAAATAGCTAAAAATATAAAACCACAAAAAGCTGAATTTGTTAAATTTGCACACCTGTGTTAGCTGCTAGCATATACTGATCCATTTTCATTTTAATCAGGGATAAGGGGACATTAGACTTCTTTCTAATGCTTTATGGATACTGTTTAAATTTCAATAAACTACTAAAAGGAGCAATCCTTTGTTGGGCAATAGCAGTCGAGGGCCTAGTACTTTCTAACACATAGGATTATTCGAAAACAAATGGCTTTCCTAAGAAGTTTGTGCAAGCACTGCGTTTAAAGAAGGACTTCCTCCTAAACTTGCTCATCTCTCTTTTGATCAGCTATATGAACTGAAGCAAAAGCCTGTGCAGTTTATTCCATTTGGCCTTCACATTGAATGCTGACCATGCCACACCGCTCCATGTCGTTGAGGCACAGGTTTGACCATGTCACCATTCCCCTAATTCTTCAAACTCAGGAGCTCAAACCAAAATCTTTGGTTTTTTAATTAGTTGGATTTTAAGCCCTCTTTTCCTAAAGATGTGTAACAGAGTGCTATGCATAAATAACTAATGCTGCGCTCAAAGCAGCGATCTTTGTCATTCCAGTACTTGAAGGGTGCTGCTCAAACCCATAAGCCGGAGCATCTGAAAGGGTCTAGCAGTTTACCACCAAAATCTACTGCATTATTTAGAGGGGAAGGGAGGAGCAGTATTTGGCCTTGCATGCTTATGTATATTCAACATATTGTCAATGTATTGTCCAGTAGAAGAACGGTGTGCCAGTAGGCTCAAAAGAACAAGAACTACAGACAAATAGAAGCAAGGGTAACTGAAGTTATTACACTGACTCTTCCAGAGATGCAAATTCAGCCAAATCATGGACACCATGCAATACAGTGATTTCTTGACTGAAACAGTCTTGTGTAAGCCTGCTTTCAACGTAAGCCAGATCCAGTATTCAGTGTGTAACAACTCCTATCATGCCAGGAAAATAATCATGTGCTTTCTGTGACATTGACGCACTTAAAGAGTTACAATGCTCTTTTACACCTCACTGGCATATTACAGAACTGTATGGTATATAAAGACAATCTTAAATTGCTGTTATCATCTGTCAGGCTGTTGTGATACCTATTAAACAACCAGACAGGCAAGAGAAACAGAGACTATCTTCTCACTGCAGCTGCTGTTTTTCTACTTGCCATGAAGATAAACGATGCGAGTACAGGCAGAATGGATATGGAAGGAGCAAAGGCTAGACAGCTCAACAGAATTCCACTGGTTCCACAGGTTTTGTTTTGCAAGACACCTGGATCTCCTCTACCTACACAGTTACCAGTCACAGTTCTCAATCCATCTATTTAATTCATCTAGCAAGTACTCCTAGAGTTCCTCAAGAAGTCAAGTATCTCCAGGGTACAAAGGATCATCTACTTCCACATTCCATTCTCATCTCAGACAAGTCATTTAGGCTTATAAACAAGCTATTGTTAATACGCATACTACAACATTAATAATTGTCACTTTAAAAAAAAAAAAAAATCACACAGAAGCCTATAAAACTCTGAAAGTGGTCTCCAACAGTAACTCCAAGAGTACTTATAAAATTATCATTATAAAATAAAACAGAATACGAGGACAAATATCTGTAGCGTCAGAGATGTTCATACAAATACTGTCCTTAAAGCAGTAACATTTTTTGCTAGTGACTAACGTGTTGATTTCGAGACCTGTGTTTATGCAACACAATCTGAAAGTTTAACTCATAATAAAGCATGAAAGTGGAGACCTGTACAAGAGGAATGTGCACTGCCAGCAGTTCTTTTCCTAAGCTCCTTGTATATGAGAACACGTTAAATATTGCCAGTCAATGTTTAAGAGTTACGTATGTAAGCAATTCAATACACCTGGCTTTCTCGTGCAGAAAGCACATCATTTTTTACACTATAACCCAATGATTATATTAACTTGCATAAAAAAATATATATGTAGCTCTCTCCTAATATAAAAAAGAGCTTAAGAAAGAACAGGCTATCATAAATATATTAATCCCTTTTCAATTTGATTTACAAGTCTCACAAATATAGTTCCTAATTCTGATGAGAGCATCTGTCAAAGTTAAATGACTACAGACTGCATTTTCACCCAGTTCATCCACACACAGTAACTGCTGGCATTAGTTGGAATTCTTTCCTTACAGAGAGAACCTACCAGGAGATAATCTCAGTTTTATTTAATAATGTTGTAAGTTTAAACAACATTTCGAAGCTCGTTCTGCTATTAGGATTTCACTCGGCATAAACAGCACTCATACAGAATCTCAAATTATTAGTAGAAACTAAAGTTCAAAAACCAAATTTAAGAAGTTTTGCAGCAATTTTTACAGAGTGAAGATTTGTATGAACTTACAGTAAGATTCCAGTTGATCTGTGGTATTCTTGTGTGAAGATTTAGACTGAACATAAGCAACAGAACTCCAGTAACCACCAATGCACTACAGCTCACAAACTCAAAGAAATAAAGGCCTTCGCAAGGGGAGCATTCCATGATGGTCTCTATGCAGATGAATGCAATCAGTGCCAAAACCTACGAAGAAAAACAAGTGGAAAAAATATAAATAGATCTCCACATTTTGAAAATAGCCACAAGTATTCCTGAAATTTCCATTGGGAACATGATCAGTTTGCACTCAGGAATGTGCGATTTTAGTTTATAACAGGGTACTGTGTAAGAACAAAAACAAAAGCAATTTCATACAAGACTTTTTGGATATCTCCTGTTCAATAAAGTTTTTTTTAATAGAATTAAGTCTAACATCCAAATGACTGAGACATGCAAAAAGGCATGAAATCCCTCCAGGACATTAGCTTAATATGCAATACAGAACCTCAAACATTTTATTTCATTTTTTTACTCATGACATCCCATTCCAAAATTTGAAGATTCAATGCATCTGTCTTTCAGATCAGCCCCAAGTTCAATTTTATAGTATTAATATAGTGTGATTGTTATAGCCATTTAAAATTATTTCAATAGAACTTATTTAAAATTCACTTTCAGCTTGAAATCTAAATCAAGTAAAAACAGCATAGATTCAGGATCTGAGCCTGCCTCCAAAAATGCCTGCCCATTTCCATGGCTTGCTTTTTTTTTTTTTTTTTAAAAACATCAAGGTGTTTATTTGAAATAGAAATATGTTTTATCATTTCCTTCCTAATAAGGCAGTAAAAACAGCAACTAACGTACGGAGAAAAATACAGCTAAAGTCCTAGTGCTGCAAAAAAATATCTATCTATAATGGGGATAATTGTTAATCACACTCAATTCAGAAAGACATAGTGATAAAGTTAACAGAAAAGCAGGCTTTTGCAAGATGAGAGTTTAATTTACTATTTAGGATAAAATAGCAAAACTTGCTACATGTGTCCAATGCATAAAACTAAAATATAACAAATACATAGCAATATTAGCTACCTATCCTTCCTACGGGAGGATAGGAGTTATATATGTAAATGTACATGTCAAACTCTTCAAATACAACAGTGAAATAATTTCTCATTCTTCATAGCAAGCAAGGAAGGCCTTAGTAGTGTTTTGCTTTGTTTTTCAAGACAACAACCTCCTGCTTACTCACACAACATCTCTCAGAAAGAACTCACTTTGCCGCAAAGTTCTACTGACATGTTAGTCAAATCACTTAAATTTGAGGATGAAGAACTTACGGAGATAGCTTCTTCAGAGCTAAAAATCTCACTTCCAATGTTTTGCACAAACAACACTTAAATTAAAAAGGTTAAATAGTAGCCACAATACAGAACAATTTCTGCTAAATTGTTCTCTGCATATATCAGTAAGGCTTTGCAGATTCACTCTTTCTTCTAACACCTTTTTTCCGCAGTTCAGGAGAGCAGGAGCTGCGCTAATTTTTGCTAGTTAATAGAGCAGGCTGGTTCCCATTAAACAAATCCTGAATGAATACCAAGTGACTAAACACTTTAGAGAACAAAGAGTAGCTTTGGATTTTGCCTTTGACATTGAATAGCTACAAAAAAAAGAAGAAAGAATATTCACTGAAATTGAACACTTAAAAAAAAACACAAAAACAAAACCCAAATTATGATTTCAGTAATATAACACTAAAAATATGAAATATTCTGTCCAGACACAGCTTCATTTTACACTATTAGCTTGCAATGATGTGAACAGAAGCCTCATAATTGACCATGACAGTGCCTACAATTCTAAAAGGAAGCAGAGATCCAAGAAATACCTTAAATGTTTTAAGTAGGAACAATATCAAAGATTAATACTAAGCATTAACTGGCAAAATTTTAACTTTTAGATGTTTCAACATAATAAAACGTCCAGCATTCTTGCCACTATTTGTGGATATATTATGACACTTCCAATATTTCTATTGTTTTAAAAGAAATGTTTTAACAATATTCTATAGAAATACTGTAGTACAAGGCCTAGTAATATAAACAGCTCTAAACTGTGCCACCAACATTAGGCTGAAGGAACCAAAAATCCTGTACACCAGTCATTACAGTGGACAACTCCTACTGGCATATGGAGTTTGGGTTCTTTTGCTGATGAAATCTTACACTGACTTTTCTCCACGCCAGACGGTATTAATTCTTCAAGGCTGATATACTCATCTTGCCGGTCAAAGCTCAAAGGTTTTACAGAAACGGAGTATGCATGGAAGAGGCACTTAGGGCAACGAACTTTAATCGTCACACATTACTTACTCAATCCCAAACTCAGATGGATACAGATTACCACAACTTTGAAGTAATGCTACCTTAAGATTTCACTTTATTACTCAAGGAGTGATAAAAGACATTTCACACACACTCGTAAGAGAAAAGTGCTAGTAGCATGCGCCTAGCTTTGACCTAACCCAAAGTTTTAAATGCTAGTTAAGACAAACATGGGTTTTCACTAAGTAACATGCTTCAGCACTGTTGTACAGTATCCTAGGTTGTGACGGCCTAAGTCTACTGATATGTTTAAGGGGCGACTTGGGAGAAAAAAAAAATCACAATTGCTTCAGTTTCTGATGAAGAGTCTAATAACAAAGGTGAAGCTGATATTTTGGAAACCTGTGCACAACACTAACTCGCTAGAAATGGGAGTATTCCCATCACAGGGTAGACCAGGACTCCTGGACACTTGCAGAGACAGCGAAAGGAGAACATTCTCATGCCCACAATTTATTTGCAACACTTCTGTACTGCAAATCAGGTTCCAACTAGATGCCTCACTTTCTCTTGTGATAATGTATTTAACCCACCCCAAAGATTATCTTTCCCACCAATGTTAGGAATAACGCCTTTCTGTTAACCATTTATTATTTATCTCACAATGAATGCTGTGACTAAAAATAAAACCTGAGTTATCACATCAAAAAAGTTAGCCTCCCACAGACACTTCCCTTTTTCAACAATAAGGAAAAAAAATTTTATTTATTTTTTTTTTTTAGAAAAAACATCTGCTCTTTGATACATCAGGATAATCTTGTCCTCCTACACATTTTTACATTTGCCAGAAGTATCCTTCCAATTAGTTATAAATAATGTGAATCATCTTTAAAAACTCACTAATGCCACTTTCACTACTAATTTCAATTTTGATATGAACTCTATTTTATTTCTAATGGAAAAGTGAACTATTTTGTGAATTCGCAAGATTTCTGGAACAAGAGCTGAAGAAACTTGCCCAATGCCATGGTTCATTCATTGATCAAGTTCATCGAAAAAGAACATGTTAACATTGTAAGAAAAACTATTCATCTTCACTGCGTTATTAAATATATGAAACAGATCATCTGTCAGACACGTTATATAAATTAGGTAGTGAATTAATACCATTTCCCAACAAATTGTTTCCACTCAGAATACCATTTGATTGATGTAACTATAAAGTAGGATGCAGTTTGATCATAAGCACGTACGGAGCGTTCAACTGCAAAGTGAAGATGAACAAAATATATACTTATATGTGTATATGTATATATCTCACCAATCCCAGCTCTTATTTTCTGATGGACTTCGCTGCAGGTTAAGAGCTAAACATTTTCTCCTGCTCTCTCATAGAGCTCCATTAATTATAACCAAGATATTTTCCTTCTAACATCTACATTTTTTCTCCATAGCCTATCTCCATGAAAATAAACATCGAAGTAGTTTTCTATAAAATAATTTTTGTATAAAATGGTATAAAATTAACAATTTGAAGTATTTGCCACAAACTAGTAAAGTCTATGGAAAGTAAGACTTTCAGACTACTAAAAAAAACTCTACATGTTCCCTTTTTTTGGATAATCCAATTTCTCACAGACATACATGAACACAAGGGAAGTTCAGACTGGATACAAATAAAAGACTTTTTCAATATGGAGACAGCCAAGCAGCCTCTCACCCAGAAAGGCTGCGCAGTGTCTATCCTTGGAGGTTTTCAAGATCCAACAGAATACAGCCCGAAGCAACCGGATCTCACCTTACAGCTGACCATGCTTTGAGCAGGAGGTTGGGCTAGAGACCTCCTGAGGTCCCTTCCTTCCAAGCCTATGATCTAACATAGTTTGATCATGGCCATTTTTATTACTTATACACATACACAATTTTAAAAAAATATATAATGTTAATTTGTTTAAACTAAGGTAAATCACTTGGATAGGATGCACCCATTTTACCTAATTTTACCTGATTTGGGGCGTTTTGTAGTCACATGCCTGATTCATAGTAATCTTTCCTACCTGACTACTATTCAAAAAAGTCCTTTGTAATCCCCCACCTCCCCCCAGAAGTGTCCATCCATTAAGGCTGTTTCAGGAAACGCTATGTCCAAGTCTCAGTTAAGCAGCCCGATTTTTCAAAAGCTTTTTGCAAAGCTGAATAACAAAATGACAAAATGCCTGTTGAACTAGCTCAACTACATGAAGCTTACTGCTTACCAAGGCTCAGAGACCTGAAAAGTGACTTCTTCAGATCTTCCCATACTATTCCTCATTCCATCTTTCTGCCAAACCAGATATGTAAAACGTAAAACTGCTGCCCTGGCTTGCAAGTGTTGGCTCTATCTGCTCTCGCACGAGGGGAGAGGCAGGATGAAGACCACGCGACTGCGCCTCTTCCCCTCCAGCCTGGGCAGTTCCATCTGGACACCATTTCGGGGCACACAGATTCACACCGCACCATGTGACCAAGGTGCAAAATTGCAGATGAAAAAAATATTCATTCCTCAGCTGCTGAGGCTTCACTACCGCATTATAACACAAGCCACCAACCTCAGGACACCAAAGACGGGAATTATTTACGCCTGTGTCCGACTCCCATGACTGTTGTTACAGGCCTACCTAAAAACAAAACAAAAACACACACACACGCACTGTACTGCGGCACAGGTCCCAATCAACAACAAAAAAAAATGCTGCAGTTTAATCTAATACAGAAGGCAATCTATACTTTTGTCACACCACTTTTTATACTTTTAAGGTGATGAGGTTTGACATAAAGTTTTTCCGTAAGCTCTAGGTTGGCTCGCTGAGAAAGGATGAGGAGCTGAATGTGGTGGAGATCTCCTTTTGCATGAATTACTGCGCTCTCCTAGAAATGACACAGCTACAACCCCTTCGAGCAGAGTCAACAGAGGAAGTTTTCTCTGGTGGATGAAATGAAACTTCTCAGCTGGTTTTCTTTGCAGTGAATACTTTAGGGAGTTTTCTATTTCACCCTAATCCCTCCAATGCCCTAAGGTTTCCCTTCTATTTTTATACTCTTCTTGAGAGAGATAAGTAGCTATTGCATCTATATGAATGCATATAGAGGTGTTTATCATGGAAACACCAGGTTATTCCCCTAGATGCCTGCGTCCATGCAGAGGGACTCCAGGCTACCACCACATCGTCTCAAACAAGGGAGGTGCAGGAGTCAGGCCAACAAAAGCAGGTCTGCCCAGACTCACAGTACAACGCGTGCAATACAGCTTTAACTTTGCCCTAAAGGAAGCTCCCCCAGCGCCTTCCTCCCTCATCTCCGGCTGCCAGGTAACGCAGAGACAGGAGAACAACAATCACCAACCAAAGCACCACGCATAAGATATATTTCCCAATAATGGACCTTTGGGCTTTTTGTTTTTTTAAATAAACTGGCATACTGTTATGCATTTTTATTGTCTGAGACATTTAGGATTGCTGAAATAATTCATGCAAACGCTGAGGCTATGGCACCTGTATTAAAGAGTACTGAAGCCCCACATAAAGGCTCTGTTCAGGAGTGACGCAGACCCTCACTGGAAGGGAATGAAGCTACCGCAACTTACGGCCGCTTAATTCTTGAAAGAGAGCCTCTACACTGGGATTCAATGTCCTTTAATTTAGGCACATTAGCCTCATACCATTATTTTATTCACCTCAAGTTTCCTGTAAATTTCCCTGGAGATGAGCCCTTCATGAAAAAATCATCTGCCTTTGGGCTAAGTAAATGGTTTATATTTACATCATTTTTTTTGGCAACACAGGCATTTAAGACATAAAACACTGTATTTCAGTAAAATGGGCAAAATGTGCTATCACAGGCACCCAAACTTGAAAAGGAGCTTTTAGGAGGGTACTAATGGTATATTTTTCCTGTGAAAGATGAAACACACTGCATTTTATTTTTGGGGAAAAAAAAAAAATCATCAAATAACTTTAGCATTAAAAATAAAAAAAGATAGTTCTGCAATGAAAGCAAAGTAAAAAAGTAGTTTTCCTGTTTATCTAAAACGTACCACAGAAAGCCTTATTGTGTGGTTAAATGACATAATTACACATGGTTTCCGAAAAACCACAAAATGGTCAGCATTTTTTCTGTCTGAAAAATACCCACAAAATTTTAGGAAAAATGTCACACTACCAAGACATTTTTTCTATCCAGACTGTTTAAATTAATGCTACGGCACAATACCCATGCACAAAGCAGAGAAGAAATAAATTGCTTTTACACCACTTAGTATCTGAAGACATTAAACTTTCTTGAATTAAATTTTAGATTTATTGTTCTCATTTGCTTGGCCCAGCAGCCCTAAAAATGTATGAAACCAAGTGGGTCTCATTCTTTGCAAAGCACATGCATTTCCCACATCTAAAACAGCTGGCACAGATATGAATATTTTGGATCATATGGCCTGAACACAGTACTGCTTCTCCAGCAGGAAACCATCTTTTACCCTAAGCAGAAGAATGACTGATTTCCTGCCTGTTCCTCGTCTGCATCCTTCAGACTGAAGAAATATGTTATTAACTCTTGTAATCAGACTGCAAGGAGCTTTATATCACAAAAAAGCATAAACTTTTCTTAAAAAATAGGAAATTTAGGAAAACGATGCTTACCAGGGAAGGCAGTTGAAACGAGCACAAATAATTCAGCACCCTGGATAAACTAAATGGCACCCAATGGCACCAAAATACTGACGAAATACACTGAACAAAGCCAGAGCGCTAGAACTACGCTAGCCAGCGAATTATACCTCCAAATTCAAGTTGGATCTATTTTTGGTGGTGACAATAGAAATAACAGCAGAACACGCACATTTCAGATCTTCGTTTCACCTCTAGTGCTGTATGTGTAGCTATGATCCTTAAGTTTTCCACTATCTTTAGCTCAGTTTTGGATATACCACAGTGAGATTTCCACATTATTTAATATTGTGAAATTCTTACTAAATCATCTGATCTTGTGCCACTTTCAAGGATTACAGAGAATTAATGGAAGCTCAACTACTGCCGACTTCCCTTTCTCAACTCAGGCATAAGACCAATTCTAAATACAGAACATATTTCTAAGACCAGAAACGTCTTGATGGCGTATTACGGGGAAGAGTCGTATCTAAGAACAAGGGTAACTTTTTAACATCCACAGAGTTAAAAGAATGATATTTGCTGTGAAACATTTTAAGTAAATTACACCAGAACTGACACTTATTCTAAAAGAGGTTAACTGGATTGAAATAAGGTGAACAGAAGAGATGCTCAACTAAAATGGAAATGCATATTTTAAAAGTGAAATGAATAATAGTCTAGAACAAAAGAAACCTGTGTAGGTGAAGCAGTACCTTATTTCCTGCTAAATAGGCTTTGGTACAGTATTTTGTTTATTGCTTAAAAACACCTATCTAATAAATACTCTTAGCTAATAATGTATGTAGTGTAATACTAATTCCGATGTTAATAGCATTACTCTAAAATACTATTGATTAAGGAAATATTTTATAAAAGGGCTTTTTAAAAGAAAAAAAAGTTAGTTCTTACTGTTATTTCTAAGCCAAATAATTTAAGCAGTTTTTTTTCATGTTGCATTTATATTTTTCTCAAAGTAAATATATTTTAGCATTAGAAGTAATAATTTAACATGCAGACAGTTGTGATGTTTTTCAACAGCACAAACCCCCCAGTTTGTGCAATGCCTGCACAGTTCTTTCTGGAGTTGTCAGTCCCATTCCCTATGCAATAGCGAGTCCGAACAAGCATTCTCACTCAAGCGCTACCACCACCCCAGTTTGTCTCCATCGCTCATGGGATTGTGGCAATTTACACTTAAGCCATTTGAATCCACCTAAGTTCCCCGTTCCCCATGCTATGGCTCAGAGCAACAACAGTGATGATACTCCACCGAAATCTCACAGGGGAAAAAAAGGCAGCCTAGTCTGTGTTAGTAACAGATGACTTCCTTGTACCATTTGCAACAGCACATCAATTTAACATTAATAGGCACAGAGAGTCTTGCAGATCTGCAATACTAGACTTGCACCCTATCTGCACTGCTCCATACCAGGTGACCTCAGGCTGCAGTGTCAGACACTCCAGTGTCTTTGTCCTGCTTCTCCATCCCCTTTCTCCCTGGAAGGAAAGCCGCTGCTTGAGTGGTTCTTCACACCCTGCCCTCAACACCTACAATGGCACCAAGCCTGCAGGACAAGGTGGTGAGAAGAGTCATCTCACTGCCTCCACCCTCCTTAACAGTGTTGTAGCTAGCCTATCCTATTTGAAAGTTCATTTGAAAAATCATACAGAGAGCCACGCTTCACATAAAGGCAAATAAAGCACACAAAACGTAGCTAGCTTCTTCCAATGACTCCTTTTGATAACAGCTTAATCTCTAGTCCCTGGGAACTACAGTTCACGTGCATCGTAATTCCAAACATTTTCGAAGCTGCATGAAAACTTCAAGCTAAGGAAACGAAAAGCTTGCAAGTCAAAAGGCTTATTCTGCACCAGATACACTAACTACACTATTCTACACCAAATTTTGCCAATGGCTTCAGCAAATGAACACAAAATAGTAAAACACAGGACTATTTTCCCCCCTTCCTTTTCAAAAAAAATCTTTCCCGATATTTGAGGCTTGGTTTTCCTGTTCATTGTCGCATGCTCATTTTGATGGCTACATATTTGCCAGCCTAGCTTTTTATAGCCATTTCTCTATTATTCCAAACTTTATAGGCTAGTCTTTCTAATGATACTGTCTAGTGCA